ATATATAAATAGGCGTGAGAAAACTACCAAAACATGTGAAATTGAGCATTTTGACTACTTTAGAACATTATACAAATAAAAAGTATAAATCCAAAAAACTCAAACGAAGGAGACATTTCCCATTGTGAATACATAAATCCTCTCTTGAAGGAGAAGGAGGCAAGTATGAACAAGGGGAACAGATAAACGTAAAAAATAGTCGTTACAATTTGAAAAATACAATAATATATACAAGAAAAAAGAAATAAACTGAGAAGGAAAGGCAAAGAAGTAGATCAAACATCAGTCCGTTTATGAAAATAAAAGCAAATGGAACATATCAGAAAGTGTAAAAAATGTTTTAGGGTATTCTTATTATAGACAGAACATTGTCATAAATGTTTGTGAGTAGATGTAATTCCAGCCCGGTATTAATGATATTGAGTATTAAACTTTTAACCGTATTAAACATTTTTGAAAATCTTTCTTACTGATTGTCAAAAAATAAAAAAAAGGAAACCTGAGTATTAAATTATATTATTTTCTCTACTTTAGATCACCTTCTCAGAACATGGTCATCAACGACCGCAGATTCAGTTAACACAAATTTAATTTACAGATATTTAGAATTTCTTTAGTTTGTTCTGCTATCCCTTCTTCGTGTGCTGGTCGCCTTCTTTGTACTGCAAGGTGAGCGCTTCGTGTGCTGAATCAACGAATGAGGGCGAAAAGGTTTACTCTAGCTGAGCTTCGTGTAGACTACCTTTTTTTGCCGTCCGCACCCGGGTCGAGGTCTAGAGCTTCACAGGAAAACTGCGGTTGTGTTCCGCACACCCACGCCAGACGCTTTTCGCTCTATTTTCACTCCCTCCTGCGTCCTTTGGTTCGCCGGCACGGCGCTTTCCTCCACTTAAAAGAACAGCGGAGTGCATCAAACGTCGCCTATTGACCGTGCCTAGAAGATGTCTGGCACTTCAATGCCGAGTCTTTTGCTGATGCTGGTGCTGCCTCTGTGTTCTTCAAAGGGAGCTCTCGCTTTTTCGTTTACAATGACGTTACCGGTTTTTCAATATCGATGAAGCACCATCTTCGCATTAACGGCTGGTGTTTGGGAGAAAGCGTCTCGCTGTCGCCTTGGATAAAGATGTTTCTCACTTGTTCATTGAGTCGCGACAGCAATTATTAATGTGAATAGGAAAATCCTATTTCAGTAACAACCGATTTTATTCAACAATTATTTTTTATTGATGACGTTTACTAATTTTATGGATCACGATAAACACATGTTTCGAAACCAACTTATTTACGAAAACTATGATAAGTGCTAATTAAAAATGAAGAATTGCAAGCTATTATCCAAACAAAACTTTAATTTTATCCTTATTTTCCTTTTGTCTTTCTTTTGAACTTGTCACTCTTTTTTCCTTGTTTTCCTTCATGCCCACCCCTTCTTTTTTCCCTCCTCTCTCGTCCCCCACTTTTTCTCCACTACTCTATCACATCACTTGGTTGTCCGACCATTTGTTGCATTACATTCCTTACCATGGATGTCTCAACAACACGAGCTGTGCGATAACTCTTTTCTTAAGAAAATAATGAATATTTTCACATCTGAAACATACAGTTCAAATAATTTTTAACCGAGGGTAATTTTTTTTGCTGTGATTCGTAAATATTATTTGACTATTAAAGTTTAATTGTTATTGTAGTTCTTTACTGTGAAGAGGGAGAGGGGTGGCCCCACATCCTGACTCTAAGCTACCACGACACGATTTTTAGTTGAGATAATACAAATAACCACGAAACATTGTGATTCCAATGTATTTTGCATAAATGACGGTAACATTATCAAACAATTGTGATTATCGTTATTTATTGGGAAACTAAACATTGTAAAATACAATTAAATAATCATAATAGGAGAGTCGGAATATTTCAGCTCTGAACACTTTTCCATTGTCTAAAACAAATTAAATAGAACGTTTATAAACATCTCATTCACATACAGGAATTCCCGATTCTCTTCGCAACATTAATGAAGCTTTTTTTCTCGCCTTTTTATTTTCATCATGTGGGCTTCATTTAGTTTGCAAGAGCTCTTTCAGATACATTGACAATATTATTGTAGTTGTACCATTACAGAGATGAATGTTTTTCATTCTTCATTCTTATAGTAGATGATTTTTAAATGTGTGAAGTAGTAAAAGTTATTGTATATACGTCTCTTAGATATAGGAAGAAACATTTCTCAGTTTTATCTTTCTTTCTTTCTTCTGCCTTTACAATTCACAGCTTCGGTTACGGGTATAAACCATAACTTCTTATATTATCCACTCGAGACTAAGAGGTTACAAAAGTACCAGTGTGACAAAATGCATTTACTTTATACACAGAGCCTAGTATGTCAAATGAGTTCTATCTTTCTCACGTTATCCACTAATGTTATTTTTGGAGAGATGCCAATGTGTCTGGTATTCTTCCTTTCTTGAAAAATATTGTCAGGATCCCGTCTTATGTTAGTTGGATAACTCTTTTTTATCTTATCTATAAACGGTATAATTATATTTGAAAATGTAATTTAACATATAACTTCTGGCATGCATATAGCAAACAACAGAGATACATATCACGCACTCAACACACAAGTATATATAACATCTCAATTCAATGCACATAATAAATACTTTGATTTAAGTAAACATCAATGTATGTGTGAAATTTAAATATAAAATAAGACATAAAAAAGATGTCCTTCCTAATGGTAAGATAACTGCTCACTCTGAGAATACCGATCTGAGTAATTGTTTTATTATAAAAGATGTTACGACTCTATGAATATATTTCTTTTACATCTGACATTCTTGCTACGAAATATTTGAGCCTGAATTGTAATTCATGAACAAATATTTTGGTTATTTATTAATAGTGATATTTATATTCATATTCAATATAAATTCTTTACGTGCTGTGACAAGTTCTTTCAAAATAAAATAATTTGACTGAAAGTCGTGTTATAACAATTTGTTTGTTATAATCGCTTAGACGTTTGATGAAGTAATACATAAAAGATGTGGTCTTAATTTGAAATTATATTTATCATAACAAGAGCAACAATTACATAAATCGCTAAGTAACAGAAAAATTAAATATATTTTTTGCAATTTTTGTGTATTATACAGCTGATAAAATGAATAATGTTAACTACTTTACTACTCCTATTGTTTTTTTTTTCAATTTGTAGTAATACATTTTCATTACAAAGACTACAATAAGACATTATTTTTCCAATTTATTATTTTTAATAAGTAACACTGAAAATATTGCTTTTGACGCCTTGAATTTTGACGATACTGAAAGCAAACGATAATTTGTATATCACTCTGCAAGACGATCAGGTCAATATTATGTTCAATTTCCCGGAACTTCACTGCATCTCCGTGCGGAAACTCTGTCTTGCCCCGTGCGGAGAGCAGCACAGCGCTGCGCGGCGGCGACGGCCCGCAACTTCGGGACTTCCCCTCCCCGGCGTTCGGGCCCTCTTCACCGGCTGCGAGTCTCCCCCGCTCCGCCGCCATTACGTGAGACGCTCTCGCACTCCTTGCCTCTTCCGCCCCCTCTAATCACTTCACCCTCGCCATTGCCGCCTCTCCAGCTTCATCGCACCGCCCCGGTCCTCCCATATCTCTCCATTTCTCGCGAAGCACCCTCCCCCTGGGTCCTCGTCTTTAGGTTCTGTTTCCGCGAAAATCTCGCGCGATTCGCAATTCTCCGCACGTGTGTAGCCCACACGTCTCTTGTGTCCCATACAATAAGCAACGGAAAGGGCCCCAAACTGGAGTTGGAAAGGCAGAGCTGCATTTGCAGAATGTTCTCTGAGCGGGAACATCAGGGCCATTCTCTCGCTTGAGTAGTTGGCAAACAAGCCTCGTTTTCTAATTTACCTGCGCTTCATTTCGAACTGTGTGTATAGTATTATGCAACATGTAGCTCAAATGGGCAAACCTACGTACAAACTATGACCTGCTAGAGCAACCGAATTTCATAAACACGTACCAGGGCCCTGAGACAAAAAGTGGAATATGATATTTGTGTCAAACAGCCCGCAAAGACGTAGAAATGTGACCAACTCCCTAACTACATGTAATATGAATACTTATCTACTATTTCCCTTTAAGCTGTTTCTGACGTTTCGACAAAAGTTAATGAGCAAAAAATACTATCATTAAACTATCAGTTTCCAGTGATATTTTCCTCTTTACTGATCACAAATTGCAAAAGAACAAAATATTCTAGAAGAAGACAAATTGTGATTATTAATAAATAGAATTAATGTATTGAAGCATCATTGATTGAACTTAAAAAATTGCTTCAAAATAGCCTCGAACGAAATTGATACAGAGTCTTTTGTTTCATTTATTTTATTTATCCAAAAGCGCAGTTTTTAGCAACCTCTTAATGCGGATCTTCAACCAAATTTGCATGCAGATTCATTACCTCTTCATCGAGTAACTAGTGAAATAAAATTCATCGAAGAATGGGTGTTAGTGTTAAAAATAATACGATTTACAATGTTTCAACCCAGGAATTGCCTTGTAAGATGAAGATAATATATAAGGATAATTAAGGAAGTTAGTCTGAAGAAATTCCGAAATATAAAAGAAAAAGGTTTATTTCTAAAACACGAAAGTTTACTTTTTTTGAAAGTTGGCTGTATTCTCAGGATCTTAGTACAATTGTTGCGTCGTCATCGTTTTCTTCCAGTTTTGTCCTTTCATATTTTGTTAATTTACTTCTAATCCACATATTCCATTTCCTCGTTTTCGAACCTGCAGCTCTATTATTTGAGCTCTGCGTTACTTCGTAGCCCCAGCTCCTTCCTTTCGCTTGCCGACCCGCATCGCAGATGCACTCTTCACGTCACATTCCTTCACTGGCCGTCCTGGGCTCTGTCCCCTCCTGATGCCTCCGCCGGCGGCGTGAAGCCGAGGCGCGCGTGACGTGTGTGTGCGTTGTGTGCGCAGCAACCCCAACGAGCAGCAGAAGCAGGAGCCCGTGCTGGCCGGCTCCCGCGAGCGCAACCGATTCCGCTCCATCGTGTGGGACGAGTATGACGCCGTGCACCAGAAGTACCTGGAGATCAGTGAGTACCTCTCCACTTTGCTGCTTCTCTTTCTCATTTCAACTCCTCTTCCCTTTTTTCTGTTCTTCTTGTCATTTTCTTTTCTTTTTATTGTTTTCTTTTATCTCTTTGCTTTTTTGCTTTTCTTTTTCATTTCATTTCCTTTTCTTTCTTTTTTCTGCTATTTTTTGTTCTCTGCTTTTTGTGTTCTTTTGTCTTTTTTCTTCTGTTCTTTCCTTTTTGTTCTCTTCATCCTTTTTAAAGGATGTTTAAGGTATACATGTATGTATGTATGTATGTATGTATGTATGTATGTATTTGGCATTTTGGGTCAACTTTTTCACTTTGCCGGCCAGCTAATGGTGTCCCCAAGCCTAGGCTTAGTTTAATTCCCACGCATTGTGGGGTAAGAGAGAAATGTGGTGAACATGGCGTCTTTCCTTTCACTGCAACTAGCAAACTCCGCCTGCCTGAGATTTTCTTTGTCACACAAAAACAGAAACTTAGATGATTTCAAAGGAAGACTATAATTATATTTTAAGGCGTACATTTTAATTCTAAACACATACTAATGCGTACATACTAAATATATTTGCCGCCAATATTTTTTCAGCCTTTTGTTGTGGTGAGTTTTATCCTACGTACTTATGAAACAAAAGTAATATTCAGTAGCACATTATGAATTTACCATTAAAAAATAACGGTGATAAATTTATACAGCGTTCAAATATCAAATTACTCGGTGGATCTCCACTGGTCGTATGTTCAGTAAAAATTAATTTAATCTCTGTGAAGCCAAATAAGGCTTTGTTTAGCTTGTCCACCATTCCCCATTATAGCCTTGTAAATAAGTTTAATGACACCTATTCAGATACAATGATGCCAGGAACTGAGGCTCAAAGAAAGCTTTCTACATTTCAGCAGGCGGAGGACAATAAAACAATGCCATTTACCATCAACCGGCCATAAAGGAGAGTGAGAGCGCCGTTGCCATGGCGACGGTCGCAAGCACAGCTAGTAATTGCAGTGAGAGAGAATACTGATAAATGGGGCCATGCAGTCGACGTACAGCCTCAGTTATGGCGACAATTTGTCTTTGTACTATGTTAAGGGATTCCCTAATAGTCAGTAGTTTTAGTTGCCCCCACTGACTCATGCTCAGAGACGTCTACACCAATTATCTAACTTGAAATACTGGAACAGCACGGAAATAGAACATCTTAGGTTACTGAAGACATTAATTAATAAACCAATCACATGGATGAATAGATAAATAGTCTCTTAAATGTCTGTCATTCTTTCGTGTTCGACATGCCATTTGTAATTATAGTTTTATACATATATATATAATTGTCATTATATTTATTAATTTACGTTGTTCTCGCAAAACGCAATTGTTACTAGAGAACATGTTACAAACTTGGGTGTTTGCTATATCATACCATTACCATTAAGTGACCCGTTTACGGACGTTATCCTAAAGATCTCGAAACACATGCAATGGACAAAGATACCCTTGACACTGTATGACTCTTTAATATAATTATTTATGATACGAGTGGTAAAATTGACATTTTATTTTGCGACATGAGCCCGATAAGCCTAGTTGCGTAATCCTTTTAGAACTAGTGTTAAAATAATCGCTTTTACTAGCAGCAGTTAAAATAGCTATTTATGATAAGAATGATGAAAGTGGAATTTTATTTTGCGAGAAGGAAAGGTTGCGACACGAAACCGATGAACCGAGTGACGCAGTTCTACGAGCAAACTAAAATCCCTTTTCCCATGTATGCTGTGCTCTCTTCTTAGACTGTCTTACTGACTTTCTTTTTCTTTTAATTCAAGTATATCAATCACTTAATTGCGTACCATGTTACAATAAAATCAGTTGCAGGAGATCAGACGAAATTATTTTATTTTATTTGTTGCATTCTCAGTTTTATCTGAACGTTTGAGCATCGTTTCACTTTTAGCGTTAATGCTGAATATTGAACTTACATAACGCTGCGCGTGCCCTAAAAGTAACTTTTTCTAGAGTGTGCCAAACGATCTTTTTCAGAAAGTGACTTGCTTCAAGTGACCTCGACTATTTTCGGATTCTTGGAGGAGAAAACAGAGACGACTCACGTGTTTCTGAGGTGTATGAACATATAGAATTGATTGATTAGTGATTAGGGGAGCATCAACAGCTAAGGCCAATATTCCCGTAAGCGTGGTGAGTGTTTTATCGTGGGAGGTGGCGGAGATCTTCCTCCGCTAGATGGCAAGATCCGGTGCCGACTTACGTCGCCTTTCGGAGATTTTCCCCAACCAGGTATCTAACAACGGCGTGGCACTGCCTCAGCTGGGTCAAGCTCTAAGCTTCCGTCATGAGAGGTAGTGTAGACCCGAGTCATCTAGCTAGTGTAGAAAAACCCTGTCGCCGTCAGGATTTGAACCCCAGGATCTCCAGATCACAGGCACAGCAGTGACATCAGCTGTGCCAACTTTACCGGCAGACCAGCCCTGAAGAAGACCACGAGAAGATGTTCAAAACGTCGACAACCCAGCCTTCAACGCAGCGTCACCCGGACAGCCAAGATCTCTACGCTGCCTGCGGAAGCCCACGATTTCATTTAACTTTACCGGTGTTCACTCCCAGGAGATGCAGCTGCTTGTAACTTGAGATACACCATACAATTAGAGGAAAAACGTCCAGTAATGTTCAGTAAGAGCACATTTCAATATTCACGAGATTCGATTGTCTCAATTTTATGTACAAATCGCTTATCACAATAAATCTAAGGATTGCTGATCACCTGAAGTTTTCTTGGTGGTTCACCTGGAGTTTTCTTGGACTCCATAGACAATAAAAAATCTCTTTTAATCAAAAATATTGCAGACAAATCTAATTGGAGGCATATTATTTGTTTATGCCTTAGTATTTTTTTCAGAAAAATGTGATAAACAACTGTCACAAATATTACGCCATTCCGAGCCCTGTGATAGAACGCTGAGTTCCGCCCACAATGTCCACGCGTCCACACTCTTGCGTTCAATATTAGTTAATTATCTTTAATGAAATAATAAAGAATGGCTTTTGTCAGTTGATAATTAGTTCAACAAGGGGTTTAATATTTAAAATGATAAAATAACGACATATTACAGTAAATTTATGACGATTCCAAAATTATGATAAATTAATACGATTTACAATAGAGTAACGTAATTGTAATGTCATATCAAATCACACCGGGATGCGTACTTTGGGCTAATGTTTCATCGGTCATTTATCAAAACAGCCATACAGTGTTGGATACACTGAAATGAAAACGTTTTAATCCCTTTAACATCGAATCCTTTTTTATGACTGGAAAACCACCGTGTATGATGCTGACCTGGTATTTATTTTTTATTTTCATTTCTAAACTGACAATATACGAAATAAAGTGTGTATATAAATAATACGTCACCAGCTTGTAAATAAGAGTCGCTTCTAGAAACAGATTAAGTCAATATCTAGCTATCTGAAATCTTCAGGAGTCTATAACTATCGTTAAATCTTTCTAGGTCGTTTTCAAAATGGTAATAATTTTATCCTTTATAAAAATCACCGAAATATCGCAAAGGATGGGCACTAGCAATTTTATATATTTTCAAATACGCCACGTACAAAATTAATATTGTTTGCTTTTAATATATCTCAGTAAATATTCGGGAGTACCCAGTTGGTGCAAGAGTCCTTAGTGCTACTCACATCAAAAGCTTGGGCTATGTCTCGAAAAACTGTTATTTTGTATTTCTTTCAGTGAAACCATAGAACGATAGTTAGGTTAATCGTAGAAATTCATTGTGGTAAAATAACGAAATAAAAGACGATAACAGAAGACTAACATCTCACGTGAACTGTAGTAGGGACACAACTCAAGAAATACGAATTTTGAAGTGACAGTATGGAAATTCAAGAAACAAATGGTAGACGTTTGAATACAATAATGCTGTATTGCAATACAAGGTGAAAACTTCAAACTCGTTTATCTCAACATCTGATTTTTTAGCTCTGTCTCTATTGTAATCCACAAACGATATTCAGCTACTCTCAGAACAACTAAGTTGTGAGAATTTTATTAAAAATCGCATATTTTATGAAATGGATCATTGTTCTATTTTCGTCTTCTAAACACGCGAAACCAAACGCCAAGTACACCACTAACAAAAAACGTTCGTTGTTGTTAAAAACAGTTTTAATATACTGCAGATGGCAAGTTTTTACATCAATGTCCACATCCTGTTAATACAGTATTAATTAGAAGAGCGAGTAAAATTGCATCTCAGTTCTGAGTTTTTCTCTGCAAACATACTGTGTTAAAACGTTGGATTTACATTTAACTCTCAACCACAGGGAACATTTTTAAAATGCTCTCGAAAATAAAATTAACTGGAGCACGCCGAAAAGTTTCTCTGCTGTCAGGCATCCGGAGGAAACAGGTGGTTAAGCCACATGTTGTCTTTCTTCCGCCTGCCTGTGTCACTGCACCATCGCCATGCCCACGCCCATCTCCTGCTCTTCCTCCACCCCAGCTCCCAGCCGCGTCTGCCTTTAAATCTTTTTTCTGCATTTCTCAGTCTTGCCGGTCATTCTTATGTATAGCTCTCCGCTCTTTGTCACCCACCACTCTGATTCATATTTTAATCTCTGTTATAAGCGTTGTCTAATAAATCCATCTGGCTGGATAAAAAACAGCGAGTCGACGTGTAGGTCGGCGCCGGATATTGACATTCAGCAGGGATCACCTCCCGTGGCTCACGGGACCCATCACGACAGTTGACGCGCCCGAAATCAATCATCAATCACCTTAATCTTTATCCAATTTCGATCGCCGACTTGTAAAGTTAAGGCTACACGAAAAGATCGCTACTTACATAGCACTGTAAATATAAAAATCTCTGTGCCATTATACATATAAAAAATGTGTGCGTTTTTAAGAAAGAATTGTTTAAAAAACTGTCCATGTTTCACACAAAATTTCACCCAAATACGCATGTTTTCAAAATATTGAACATAACATTATTTTTAG